TCTTGCAGAGAATCATTCTAATATTCAGTGGTTTTTTTTTGAATTATAATTAGAAATTTAAAATCAAACAAAATTTATACCTTTTATATAGTACTGCTACTTGATTGCTTAAACTTGATATTAACATGAGCAAACGCCTTATCATCTTCTTCTAGATCATTTCTTAAAATGATGATTTTTCGAACTTGGACTGAAATTCCTATGCACTATGAATATCATAGTCGAATATAAAAAAGGATAAAATGTATTATTTATGCAAAAGGAATTCTAGAAAACAGTGATTTCAAAGATACCATAGTGAAAAAAGCATGAGATTTGTTAGGTTGTTAAATTTCAATACTTGTTAGATTACCGCCTAACAAATATACATACAAACGGTTGTAATTACACACACACACACACACACACAGACAGACACACACACACAGAGAGAGAGAAATTCGTATGATGACAAATTCGTAATTTGCTGACATTGTTAGAAGAGAATGGATTGAAGGGATAGATCCAAAACTAACGAAGACATATTTTCTAAGGGATGTCTCCTCCTAACAACCTTATTGTGATTATTTACTTAACTTTCTATGAGCAAGCCTGGACAATTGAATTATTCATTTACGGCTTACCAATTGCACAAATGCGTCGAAATAGACTTTGTAAAAGTTTTCATTTTTTTTAAAAGTCATCCTCATATATGGTTTTAATTCTAAAAATATCGAAATGCTATTTGTGTAAGAAAATTTTGAAGTATTTCTCATATACATCAGAAATTCATTAGCAGTAATACATCTTTCTCCTCTTTTCACTCTGCTTTTAATTTGATTGGGGAAAAAGATCTGTAGCTATTTGAAAAAAAAAAGAAAAAAAATTTAAAATCATCCGCTTTGACGACTAGCAGTCGTTCGAAAATTGATAGCTTTCGAAGAAGGATTTTGATTCTGAATACTTAATATGTCTTTCAAGCATAACTTGTTTTAAATAGTATGAAGCAATTTATATAATGCGCTGAATTTTTCGGAATATTTCTCGTGATTTATCCAGCATTTTGCAGCATGAATTTAGAAATATTTTATGCTTAAGCATTTAAAATAACTAAAATGGGAAGATATCATATTTTTGTCGTCGAGGAACATCGTCAAAATATCATAAAAACTACCAACTTCAAATTTGACCAAAGAACCTAGATACCAATTTTTGGATAATTACAAGTCGGATTTTTTGTTTGTAGTTTAGAGTTTATTTATCGTCTAAAAAATGTAATTAGAATTGACTATATATATTTTAGTCGATGAAAGACTGTGAATAACAAAGCTTAATTACTTTTTAAATGTATTCGATACATTTTATTCCTTCATTCTTACTTTTTCTTTGAGGATTCCATTTACGGAGGCTTGAGCTTGAGACTTACAGAATAAGATAAAAAACAAACTTTCAGTTTCCATTAAAAGTTGAATCAGTGCTCCAATGTTGAAAATAGATTATTGGAGGTAAGAAGATTTACAAGAGAAGTGTGCAAATGTTGTTTTGCAAATATGCTTGTAGCATCTAATAACAAAAATTATTCCTTACGTATGTCAAGATTCCCGAGATTCAAAATGACGTAGAAAAGCATATTCATTTGCTAATACAAATTTTATTAAAAATTTGGCAGAAAACTGAAAAACAGAATAATATTTGCTAGATTATCTTCGATCCTATTATTTGCCATCAAAGACAGAGAGGGTGCTAGAAAAAGTTTTCCCGAGAGACTAATCTCCGTTGATGTTTTCTTTTCCAAAATTTAGCTTTGTCGCTCATATATATATTCCCACAATCCCATTAGCCATACCCATAAACTTATTTTAAAACTTAACATATGCAAATATTTGAAATTGAAGCGACTATTTCTTTCAAAATATCTTCGTTTGCTTGAATTTTGAACCAAAAATTTTCATAACTTGCCTATGTTTAGACGATGTTATGTTTGTCTCTAGCATACTTCCAAACTCAAAGTTTATCTTAAGTTTCTTTTTTATTGAGTAAGCCTTAAAAAGCGAAGAACTTATCCAGAAATTTATAGTTTTTTAGATATCAATTCTAGAGTTATTCAGTTCAACGGTCTGTTTATCCTGACGGTCTCGTTACTGCACTTCAGATATGATTGTACATGAACGTTTCTGAAAAGAAAGATCACCACTGCAAAGAATGAGTAAAATAAGCTTCTTTTCTATTTTAATTGAAAATTTCAACTCATTTTATTGTCAAAAAAGGAAGTTTTCTAATGCCAACTAATTATATGGTGAAAAGAAAAGAAACTGAAAGAGAATAAAATATTGGGATGATAAAATTAGAATAAAAAAAAAGTGACAGAGAAATCGTATGTTGAAAGCAAGGCCATCAAATTGATAGCTAAATAATTGTTGTGCAAAAGAAAGGCGGAAATATGTCATTGGAGTGGATTCATAAATTATCACATTTACTATTCGAAGCCTGGGAGAATTCTTCGAACGCTTCGAATTATTCATCTTATGAAAATCACTGCTTTTCATCAGCCAATTCAATCCTTTTTAGTAGATTTCAGGAATTTTCTTGTTTTTCGCTTCTTTTTTTTCTCTTTTTTTTTTTTTTTGTTTTTCGCTTTCTGAAAGCAAAGGCTGTAATTTTTCTAACAAGTCAATAGATTATTGTTTAGACGATAACGTATTTTCTAATTACAGATAAGCTTTTTAAATCAATTTTTTTTTTTTTTTTTGCATCAAAGAATTTTGTCTTCTTTTTTGGGATAATCCATACTTTTCCGTTTGATTTCTCCTAAAACGCATAAAAATGATCCAATTATCATGAATTTTTTAACTTTTGAAGTTTCTCTTTGGATTAGAAAAATACGTTATCGTCTAAACAATAATCTATTGACTTGTTAGAAAAATTACAGCCTTTAAGAGAATGGCATGTGACATTTTCAATTTTGAATGAATTCGATTTCTTTCTTTCTTTTTCTTTTTAAAAAATCAAATATTTTCCAATTACCTATTCGCTTAAAAACCAAAACAAACGCCACTCAAAAAATTTCCACGAAAAATAGAAATCGTTGAAAAACCAATGCAGAGATGTGAGAATGATTTAAAAAAAGACCGATGAAGCAATTATGTTTATATAACTGTTGTAAAGCTTAATGAAAATAAGTACTGGAAGGTATTTGATAGAAGCATGGCTAGACTCAGACTTGTCGATATACATTATCAAAAATGGTTGGTACCGATCGCATGGCAGAACTTTTTTGTTATCTATTTTCAGAGATTTGGTTTCTAAGAAACCTGAAAACATATCATTGTTAGCAGAAAATAGACGAACAATAAAAATAGAAAGAATTCGCTCTAGCGTAGATTGCTTGCAGATTTTTAGAATGGAAATCACAAAAGAAACAAATACCTGAAAAATAAGATAAGCCCTCACTTTCAATTAAGATGAAATTAAGCTGAACAACAGTATTCTTGTTTAATTTATATGTTAAGCTCTTAATCTGCTATAAAAGCCAGTTTTATAGTTTGTAATAAAATATCGTCGAACAAATATTTTTTTATCAAAACAGCACCTATTTCAAAATATTTTCACTAACATCATCAACTTGAAACATTTCCGCTCTAGAAAGTTTTCCCCAAAGAAAAAAGACTTGTAATGGTAAACAACAATGGCCTGGATTCACCAACCCAAACGAAACATTGCTTTCTTCAGATCATAATTTCTTCACGCATCCATAAATTTTTTCAAAAGAAATCTATATTAGCTTAGCTTACTATTCAAAACTATTATTGTTGATGACAAAACCATCATCATGTTCGATTCTCACAAATTCTATCGAAATCTATTTATCAAACCGTGAAGAATGCCGAATTTATTGCATTAAATTTATCTGTTGTTTTATGTCTCTTAGTCGTGTGTCCTACCTTTTCAAAAATCCTTGCTATGCTGACAAGTTCACCGCATTAATATTGTATTCCACCAAACTTCTAATTAGACCATGTCAATTTTTTTTTTGAAACAAAGGGTATCGAGAAAGACCCATAATTCACAGAAGACTTCTCGTAATATAGGTAAGTCAAAACTACAATTCCTCTGCAGATTCAAAGAGAAAGAAAAAAGCGACGAGAAAATGCCATGGTCTACACTCAACTTCCACTGATCAAATAAGAAAACGCATTTCATTCAATGTTTCAAGGAAAAAACCATTTCAGAAACTCATCTGGAGTCTACTATTCTGGCATTGCTGTCATTATTAACTTTCCAAATTTTGCAAGAATGCTGATTGCAAATTCCCATGAGTGATGCTTCACCAATATATCTACTAATATGAAAAGAAAAAAAAGAAGAAAAGCCACATGGCTTTCGCTACATCTTTCAAAAGACCGAAACTTGCTATTAACCTGTTTTAAATTTACTCGTTGGTTAGGCTTTTGCAGTGATCCGAACCTCCTTTTCTTCTACATCGCCCAAGCAAGCGGCAGTGAAATATCCTAACAACTTCATTTAACTACTGTTCCGCAGCATAAAGAATTGGTAATCTTTACTAAAACACCAATAAAAATAAAAGCAAAAAGTCTAGAGCTACAAACAATTTTAAGCAAATATAAAGCACACAAATGAAATATCGCTATAAAAAACTGAAGTCACCTAACGGACCCAAAAAGAAACTTTAAAAAGTGCATTATTTCATTGTTTTCATGATTCAGTTCATCATGTTTTAAGCTGAGCAAATGTTATATCTTTTTAAATCATTTCCAGAACTGACTACCAACGAGCGATAACTTCTAACGATGACGATTTGTTATATACAACTTTTGCATAAAATTAGAAGTAATTCGACCAACACCTGATTTCGAAAGCAAACAAACACTTGAGTATAGAAAACTGACATTATCAACAAACAAATATTTCGACAAGCATTTGAATTTATCAAATCTTCATTTTATGAAGATTCCACAAAAATATTCCACTAAGCGTTTCAATAATACAAATCCTGACTGAAGCTAAACATCAGTGGATATACAAGAATTTGCTTTTACCGAGCTAAATTCATCACCATCTACAGTAAAACCTCGGTTACGTAAATTTTCATCCAAAAACCACCTGAAACTCAAGTCTATTAACAGAATGAAAATACCAAACTAGAAGTAAAACCACATCACTGAAACATACATAGTTTTAAAGAGCAGATTCGAAAAGTGAAACTTGTACAAGGCATACAAAAATCTTGTAAAAAGTCAACCTGTAAGCATCGTATTTCTGTCGAATTCGGAAACAGTATTGTTTTTCCTCATCTTCCAATATTTTTAAGAAATTCTCAAGTTCTGGTACTTCAAACATATCCCACTGAAATCACAACAGTTTAATTCTGCATCTTTTCTTCAGAAAGCGCCGGCTTAATAACAAAAAATGATTTAAAGTGTTCTTAACTAAGAAATTTGACTGTGATACGAGTGAAAGTATTTAAACAAAAACACACCAAAATATCCCCTGTATCGTTCTCCTGTAAAACTAATTGTCGTTTCTCTCCTTTCTCTTCCCATGAGCGCACAATTTTGAGTGGAAATGAGTCGTCCGAAATACGTGTCAAACTGTCTTAAATCAAACCTGATTTTCAGAAAAAAACCATAAACTAACGTCTGAGAAAAAATTAATATAAGTAAATGGATCAAACTTTTGTTCGACAAGGATTAACATGTATCCAAGAATACAACATTTCAAAAAACAATATTTTTCAAAAACGTACAATTTTGTATAGTTGGATTTTCTAATGACTGAGAAACACGCTCATACAGTGCAAACTTCCGCGGATTATCCGCAACTCGAAATTTCCGCAGCAAAGTTATAATCATTTCTCTGAAAAAAAAATTATTGGCTAAATTTCAAAATAAAACCGTTTGTAAACGAACAAGGAAGCGCATAAAACAATCTATACATGCCTGGTAGTCATTTTGCTACTTATATTCACATTCTTAACAGTATTTCTCGGGAGAAAAAACGTTGTGATTGTCCTCAAGGAACTGGTAGTTACGGATGCTGAAAAAATAAATAATTAGATATTATCCATGACTTTTCATAAAGGTTTAAAATATTTCGAAAAATCAAAATAACTTTCTCCAAAGTATAATACTAATGATTTAAAACTAAGCACAGCATTACAAAATAACGTCATACTGAAGAACTCACCCGATTCGTTTGTGACATCCAGAAATGAAAGTGAATCGCCTGCGACCACATTAATAGGTCGCATAAAATTCATATGAATTTGTACAAAACCGCTCGTTTCATCTTTTTGTTCCTATAGAAAATTTGTGATTTGTTCATAATATGTGAATAAAATGCTCAAAAGAACGAAAAAAAAAGAATGTTACAAAAACTTTCAGTTTATGTACGCCCCCAAGTTTTTATGTAACAACTTAGACTTTGAAAATTCCATAAAAAACGACACACAAACCTCAAGAATATTGTCATTTTCAGTGAACATTTTCAGATTTGAACAAGAAGTCACAGCTAATTCCTGACATGAACTCAACGTACTGTCAGCTGTTTTACAATCTAGTGTTACCAGCGATTTACATTTTGAGTGACAAGTGTAATTACAGTCTGCAAAGAAAAGGTCCAACAGTATTAGTTTTTCGAAATTTGGGTGTTCACTTAAAAAAGAAAAAGAAAGCATACGCTTCCTGAGATTTCATTTGAGATAAACAGACATAATTACTTCCATGGCTAACTACTCTCAAGAACCAAAATCATTCAACACCTGTAAGAATTTCATAGAATTAACTTACTACCACATTTTACCGCTCGTGTCAAAAATCCCCACATAAAATCTCCACATTTATCACACCAGGTTGGATGAGTAACAGACAGTGATCTGAAACGATCAAAAAATATTACCAAATTTAGACTAACAAGAAGATCCATTTGGTTTGAAATATCTTACAAGAAGTCGTGTCCTTTTCCTGGATGACTACAACCCGTAATGAGATTCTTCAATGGTCCAAAGTGCTGCAAAGCGAGAGTATCACCATAATCAGCTTCTTCCCATAACCACGAACCTATCGTATCACTCTGTAAATCGAACTGAACTTAAAATCGACTTACGACTAATTTCATACTGCATAGAAACATAAACAACTATAATACATCAAAAATGCATGCCAAGATGATAACAACAAAAGTAGCAACAGCAATTGCAGTGAGAATGAAAGATAAAAAAGTAAACTAAATATAATTATCAAATTATTTAAAACAGGAATCATCGAACTCACTCCATTTACATCTATTTCTGGATGAATGCAAATCTGTAGCTTCTCTGAAACATCATCCAATATCCGCACTGGTTGATCATTTTTGTAGTCCGTTTTTTTTTCTGCTTTGTTACCAGGTAACTAAAAATCATAAAACTATTTCTACTAGTCGTTTCAGAAGCTATAGCTCTCTTACTTCAGCATCAGAGAATGTATTTTACCTTTGTATTTCAACATCAAATCGTGAGGGATAAAGTGCATTAACTGCCTCCTCCCACGGTTTTATTTACAATATTAAAAAAATTTTTAAAATGTGAAAAAAAGAACAGATTTTCATCAATAATCACGGATTCAGTCCCTACAAATCCACCTTTCTCTTTTACCTCTAGTTAATAATCCAGATAACAGGAAAGCATTTACCACTTCCTCTGTCGGCGCTACGTAATTAAAATTCTTAACTCCGAGTTGGCTCAGCCACTCTGGCATATTAAGCTGCGAGATCCTTGCACGTAATCCAGAAAACCACCTAAAAATACGAAAGGTAAGCCTTTGTAGTTAAAAGTGAATGTAATTAATGCTAATTTTTGGTGTTCTTAAATGACTAACTTGATGCAAAATACCACCAAAAAAATCTGCAAAGTGAAGTTTCGATTCAAATAAACAACTGGTTACATTAAATAATTGAACACAATCTATTAAAATCTTTCATGTCTCGTTTAATCTTCACATCTAAGAACAACATGGAAAAGTGACAAATGAAACCGACTAATACCTCGGTTGTTGAGTAGCAGATTGACATGATCGTACATGCTTCCCATCACTTTCGTTGTTACTATTCCCACCATAATCCAAGGTCTTACTCATATTAGCTGTATCACATCAGCTTATCTAGAAATATTGTATAATTAGATAATGATCTACGCCGTATATGAAGGTAAGATCCCTCTTACGAATAGGAAACGTCCTCCAAACAATAAACAGTTAACAGCAAGACAGACCGAACTTTACACACTAGCGAAACAAAGTTAGAGTAAAATCCGAAATCATAGGTGGATAACGGTCGAGGAACATCGCGATCGAGATGATTTAAATGGGAATTCAGTTTCGAATGGATTTAAATCATTAGGTTATCCTAGGGAAATCATCAATTATCTGTCCAAAAAACCTAACGTAAGAGCAATATTTACGGTTCCTAACTCATTCTACCTCATGTTCTAAGCTACCCCTTACGGAACTCTCGTCATATCCCTGAACATTTTTAACCAACAAAGCGAGAACAACCCTCATCATACTATTCGCTGCAATCGAAATGAAGAGAAAAAAGAATTTGAATGACACGAATTTTCCCTCTTTCTTTTCACTTCATCGTTCCTCTCTCTCCTCCCTAAAAGCAAATTTTGAGTAGGTAAACAGAAACTAACGACAGTAGATAGAATCAGACTTTCAAGGACTGTCACCAATATTAGTGGGAAGGAAAATTAAATGATTCAAATCGTGAAATACTCAAGGTACGACTATAGGAAGTACACCACATAAGCAATGCATGATTGATTCGTAAGAATTTCTTAAAGTTTGACGACATTTCTGACGTTTATTCAAGAAAAAAGGACCATATTATTACGAGGGTTGAGCGAGAACACATGAATAGATGAAGCGATATAAACAGATATTCCTGATATCGAATTTAGGCAGCGCTTTATGGTAAAATAACCAAACATACGATTCAGTGATTCAGTGTTATTCGATGGATAGCCGTTTGATTACACTTTGGTCTTCCTGGAGATCGATGATTAAATCAAATTTCAAAGTTCCGTAAGACTGACACGAAATTGTTACAAAAATTTATGATGTGCTATACAAGAACCGCAAATCGGAGTTTCAGTAGTTGAAAGTACTGGTTTCCTTGCAATTTTCATCCTGCTTAATTTGAATGAAGTTTAATACCTATACAATCATTCTCACGCCCACTCATCTTGTCTACCCGCTCGGCCTGCACTTTTTAGCTACGAAACAGTTTGATATACACACCTATCTATTAATCAAGTGATAACCACGAAACAATTTATAAGAAATTTTCGTAGGCTGAAAATTCGATTATAGGAATAATCCTCATACTACTGTCCTCCTTTCATTAGGTCTTACTGCCAAAATTAATCCACAGTCCTACAACCATTTCCCGTTTCGAAATCATAACTCCCCACACAGTTCCAGATCATAGGTTGTATCCACTTTCGCATAACAATAATGATTGACTCCAAACACGACTATCGCCAACAATTATCCAAAGAAACTTTCCCACATCATCCTCTCGTCTTCCTTTTGCCTGTTTAGAAATTTGTTAGCTTAATAAGGACTGAAAATGATAGACTATGAGGCTTGATATCACATACCTCTCTTCCCAAATATACTGTGATTTACAAGCAATTTATTACACTTCAAGATCATGAATCAGCAACAGCAAGGATAGAATACGTCCACAAAATACAACGAAATAATGACGTCATAAAACGCATCATTGAAACAATGCGATTACTGGACTGCACCAATTACATTAAAGAAACATGGAATTAAACCAGACTTCATTTTCTGAGTAAAAAGAAGAGTAAAAAAATACTACAACAAGCTTTTTTGGAAACTTAATTTGTACGTTGAAAATACTCTAATAGTCAAGATAGATCCAAATATTACCTATAAACACCATAATTTATACTGAAAACAAATCGAAAAGATTATGCTTTTTGTCAGTAGAAAACCCATTAAACGTGTATTCGGCACATTTCAAACAAGTAATACTCTCTGAAGTCTTAAAAAACCGACGTCACTTCTCCCCACTGTGAGACTTCCCCTTAATCGAATGGATGTTAGCTTCCTTATAATTTCACAACGAAACAATCCTAGCAATCTAAGTTGGAATCTATGATACTGTCAACAACAACCTGTTTCATAACGCATACAGGAATTAGGTTGGCATCAACCTAACCAAAAAAAAAAAACATGAAACAGAAAGCGATAGTACCAGCAGTACAATAAAATCAATTAAAAGAACAAAAGCAAATAAAGAAATCTCCTGAAACCCCTCAACATAAATTATAATAACGACACCGGTCACCAATCGACTAAAACAACACTATTTCGGTAAATTAATAAAACTCTCCGAAGGCAGGGCTACAAGACGATACAATCACTTACCTAAAATTTTTTCCATTTAAAACCAAAAACAAAAAATGTGCCATCTTATTTTCTCACTTCTCAATCATTCCCTCCTCCCTCAAATAAATTAAGAATATCACAAGATACAATATGGAAAACCTGCCTCTGAATCATGAATATAAAAAAAAAAAAGCAGAACAGTATGCATAATACAATCAAATCCTTAAAAACAGAAAAACAGACAAGCGACACAAAAAGGTTGCAAACTGTGAGCTGCGAAGAAATACTTGAATTAAAAAAGTAACAAATGGCATGAGTAACTCTGAACGTAAATTGAAAAATTTCCAGAAAGAAAAATTAAATTTATTATAACTTAATTGTTATGGAAAATCCACAGACAGACTGATAAGTAGATACTTTAAAAAATCGCCAGTAATTTACAATTAATTGACTGACTGCAAGTCTGGGAAGTCTGTGCTGTCAAATTTCGAATATGATCAGATTTAATCAGTTTCCAAGTAGAAGAAAAGGAAGAAGAAAATTCTTAGTTTTTAAGAATGAGAACTGATTAAAAAATTTTCTTTCTCAAAACATACGATCCGAAAAATGCACACCAAACAAAAAATAAAGATCATATAAGTATTACAATCATCATTTGAAAAAGGATAAAAGAACAAAGAAAAAAATCGATCAATCGAAAAGAGTTTGTATGCAATTTCTCAGTTAGCAGAACCAGTAGAAAACCGGTATATACGGCTGTTTTACTAAATTGTTGCAGTTGTTACTGGTGGTATGATTGTCGTACTATTGCTGACATTTGGAGTGGTGCGACGAGCCGATGGACTGGCCATTGGTGATTGTGTTGGAGTTACCATTGATGGAGGCATGCGTTCATTGATTTTGTCTAACCGTTTCGCTTCATCGAATGACTGAATCCGATGACCAGGTCCCAACCCGGATAATGCTACAAATACTGCATATAACTCGGTAACTACATCTTCCGTGAATGGTAGCTGCTGTACAAATGCGCTCCACCCGTGACCCACCGTAACCTTTTGAATCCAGCCAGAGAATTCCATCGTGGTCAAACAACATCAACAATTAAAAAATGAATGATGTGAGTAGTATGCACAATTCCATAGCTACTTTCAATATCTGCTGTTTTAAAAGGACCGAGACTATTTGGTAGAAGTTTGTGATCAGTGGTAATCGTAACAAAGTACTATAGGAACGCATGCGTACTAAAACAAACAATAAAAGCAATAGAAAGTGGCAAAGAAAATAATATCGCAGTCTGTAGGGCAAGTGGCCACATAATTGCAAGCAATCGGAAGGATTTTCCAGTGATATCGTAGAATCAAACAATTCTACAAATCAGTGACAAGCCAATTTCACTAATCGATCTTTCTCATACGACAAACCAGCCTATGAAATTCAACTCAAAAATATACGGCATACATTCTTCTAAATTATGAACGCACTTAGAGATGACACAAAAGTAGGAAATTGCCGGAACATATTAACACAGCTCTTCGACCGACTTTTCAACCCGTCATGCCGGAGTTCGAACCCTTCAGTTATATCACTGTTCCTTTTTCACGCCTACATTGAAGGATTTTAAAATAAAATCTAATTAACAAGCTTAATTTTTCCAATTTTAGATTAAAATAATTTTTGCAATCTTGCAAAAAAAAAAAAAAAAAAAAAAAGCTCAGCAACTTAAAAACTGGAAAAGTGGCTGCATTTTCAAAATACTTTTTCAGTTCATTCAAAGCTCTTTCTCAACTCCTCTACTTTTATCTGCACTGCATAAAACACGTGGTATGCTGACTAAATATCGAAATAACGAACTAACTTTCACTTGACAAAAAATACAAAAGCAGGAAAAACACGGTGGCGTTTTTGAAATTTATCATGACTGAAACAGATTTAGAAAAGATGACAAAAGAAAATGATTACTAATAAAAGCCTCAAGAGCAAGTAATGCCCAAAAATTAAAAATTTTAATGAAATAACTTCGTATTTTCAATCTAATTCTCGTGAGATGTGACCCAAATTCTTTTCGCGTTTTGTCATTAAGAAACAATGACAGAAAAGAAAGCAGCTATCTCATTAATTTTGATGTAGAATAGCATTTTAAAAATAATTCGCGATGAAGATTTAAAAGTTGCTAATACAACAGTGCAACCAATAATAAAACAAGCTAGCATTTTTTTTTTAATTTCTAAACCTGAGAAATCGGAAGAAAATGCACCACAGACTACGATATTATTAGACAATAAATAATAGTAATTCGTTTGTTATTAATGATGAAGTGTTAATTCATTTAAATCTACTCGAATTAGTAAAAAAAAAATGAAGTACCCTCTTGAATTCCACGTCTCCCTTCCTGAAGTGTGAACAGTGGTAAATTGCCGGTTGGTGTAAGTCCCTTTAGTTGTAATACAGACTCACTTTCTTCTCTGAAAAAAAAAAATCACATGCGAACCGAAATATAATGTAAAAGAAAAATCAAATATTCTACAACAGAACATCAGTCAATTGCCAAGAACTTCATGCTTGCTTTTTCTTATCTGCTATCTTAACAGTACTTGAGACAAGTGATCATTTAATTTCTACTCCAGAAGGGTTCCCAACCAGCAGTATAATCAACAATGCTTACAGGCTCAAACAATGCACTCGAAAATTGATATGCAATAAAATCTAACCTTAATTCGTGAACTTTAAACTTTAATTCACAAAAACTTTTTTTCCAAGTTTCACTAATATGAGAGAAGATTCTATTTCTACATTCTACCTACGACATAATGAACAGTGTCAAAAAGATAACAATTCGTTATTTTAAACCCAAAGCAAAACAAGAGATGCGTCTACAACGCAAAATTTAGGAGGGACAACATGCAATAATTTATACCAGCAAAAAACAATGAAAAAGTTAATTAACTGTGTATAAAAAGGCACAGAAAACTTAGATAAGCATGTCTAAACAGGGCTAGTTTCTGTTTTAAAACGATCACATTTGAAATAAATTTACATAAGGGATTAAATAAGCAAAAAAAAAAGAACCTTAACACTGAGAAAGCGCGAGCCATTTTACCGATTGCTCGAATTTTATGCCGAATAACTTCCTTCCGTGCCGATGGAACACCACCTGAAGTGAAGAAGAAATACGCATATGGTAAATTCATTATTCAAATATTGTCTGCCATAAGGACACCTGAAATATTAAATATTTTCTGTGAATTAAAGAGAAATAACCTAATTATATCTTAGCTGGCCAAATCAGAAAAAATTAACGATGCTTTAGAACACCCATTTTTCTTCTTATGATCAATTATGTAACATAGCATTTTTGATGAAATATTCTTAAAAGAAAAAATGTGATGAAAGGAAGATAAGAAATATGATTGTCATTCGATTTAAATGCATCACTATATTGCCGTTTACTCCAAACTCAGTAATTCAGATGTATGAAAAGGGAAAACCAAAAAACGAAATGCACTAACAACTGTTCTACATAACTTTGATGGATAATGCCTGCACAACAACCATGGGATTATGCAAAACA